CCCTTTCTGAGCTCACTTTTCATCAGTGAATTATGGGACCTGAACTATATAGTCTTCATGATCCACTCCAAATCTAACATTTTGTGGTTGACTCTTAATCAGGTGATTTCATTTTTCTTATGACAGGGTGTCCCTTCTTCACCTCTTTCCTCCAGCTCAGGGTGTATCCAATTGCTTGAATCCATACCCAGAATTCATATCAGCCCCCAGGGCCCTGTTCATACAGCAACCAAGGTCATTAATAAAAAGGGTCTCCCACTACTACAATTGAGAGCATGATGTCTGTGCCATTGGAATTAAAATCTCTGTCCTGGAGAGTCCGTGAGAATGGACAGAATTTTAACACTGGACATCTCAAGATAAAATTTCTGAAGACACTGAAAAAACAGTGTGGCTCTGATATGTTGAAATTGCCATGGCAACTCACCCTGAAGCATACTATCTGGAAAGCAAGCATCTGAGAATTGCACCGTCTTCCAGTTTTCCAGCAGTGGACTGGGTGACCGCTTCAGGAGAATAAGAGGGCAGCAGTCAATACAGTCGGGGCACATCTCCTTTTCTTCTCTGTCTACCCACACCATCTCCCCATGGGTTGAAAATAACGCATTGCAGGGCCATTCGTGGATGGACGTGACCTGAGCTGGGCAAGAGGGAGTGTGTTCCACACTTGCCCTGACTCAGGCTTAATGTGTAGGTATCCAGACAGCTGGGAGGGCTGTGGGTTTGTAGATACATTCTCTGTAATCTTAGGGATAACCCGAACCTGGAGAAGAGAGCTGGGGAATGTCTTCAGGTGTGCCCAGGAGGAGGTGACATGGGTGAACATGGCACAGTGACTCAACCACAACTGTCCTTTAATTTACGCAAAGATTCAACATGTAAAGATCCCCACATATAGTTTCCTCTAATGCTTGAAGTTTGTTTTAATTTGGTTGCACCTATACAAAAGAAACTTCTATTTAGGGAGTAGGGGAAGTGTTTCCTCCCACCACTACTTTTTATAAATTAATGTTTACATTACAGTTTTCATGCCAGAAGTATATGAAGAAGATCTTCTTTGAGTGAAACACTGTTAAATTATATGTTGTAGTAGGAAAAGATATAAATTCAGTCCTTTGAAAGAGTTTGTGGTTTAACTGGGAATCAAAATGTGTCTCGATAATATGGAGAATTAGACTGAGGAGTGCTGACTGTACAGTCAGCATTGATATACAATTTAGGATTCTGGTAACACAAATATACTTTAAAAAAAAATTTAATTAACTATTATTATCATTATTATTTTTGTGGTACAGAAGATTGAGCCCAGGGTATTCTATCAATGAGCTATATACCCTTGGCCTTTTTTTATTTTGTATTTTGAGACATGGTCTCACTAAGTTGCTGAGACTGGCTTCTACCCTGTGATCTTCCCTGCCTTAGCTTTCCAAGTAGCTGAGACTACAGGTGTGTACCACCATGCCCATCTTGAATCCACTTTTTAAAAGTGCATTTCTTTTAAATAAGTAATACATGTGCATAATTCAAATTCCAATAGGAGCAAAACAATATTCACTGAAAAGGATCCCCATCGCTCTTTCCTCCTGCCTTCAAGTTCCTGCCCCCAGATGCAACCATGTCTAGAGTTTCTTGCATAACCTTCCAGAGTATTCTATGCATTTACATACACCTTAGTATTTTTTCCCTTCTTGGTTTACTTAACTTAAAAATAAATCTTGGATGTATTTCCCTAGTTGTATTATAGACTTGCCTCATTCTTATAAGCCAGCAAATGATAGCTCACACATCAAATCTGCTCTCTACCTATTTTAGTAAATAAAAGTCTTATTAGAACACAACCACATCTATTCTCTTACACATTGTCTAGAAATGCTTTTGTGCTACAATGGCAGAATTGAGTAATTGTGACAGAGACAGTATGGTCTGCAAAAGCTAAAATATTTACCGTCTGGCCATTTGTAGAAGTCTACTGACTCTTGCTTTAAAAAGACTACTTAATATTTTATGTATAAACATGTCATAACTTAATAATTCCTTATTAAAGGATATAAAGGCTACTTCTAACCAAGTCATTACAAATATCACTGTATTTAATACATCAGTGTCTGTGTTATATTCTCACACATGGGGCTATTATCCATGTAAGTATCCATCTAGGAATGGGATTGTTGAGAAAAAATATCATGTGCTTTTCATGGACATATTTGTTAATTTGGTATCAACAGCAGCCATGATGTTAAGGAAACCAGAAGACAGACCAACTGAAAGAATCAATTGGGGAAGAAAAAAAGAGAAATGACCAATTGAAGGCTGTATTCCTGGGAAATGAAATGAACAATATGATTTCCAAGGGGAATAAATTGGTGGTTGCTTTCAGCCATACCTACAAAATGGGAGGCTGAAAGTTGGAAAAACCCAGACCTCTATTTAATGTATCAGGGTTGAGGAAACCAATGCAAGTGTGTTCTTCTGTTAAGGTCACTCTTTGTCGTAATCGCAAACTTCTCCTCACCTCTCTCTCTGAATTCATTTCCTATGCCAGAACCTTGGAGGCACAAATGTATGACTGTTGGAGCTGCTGTTTTCAGGGACAGCTGTGAAGATCAGTGAGGGCACCAGAGAGTTTGACTTTGTGTGGGTAGATTTGCTTGCCTAGTACTGACTTTGCTAGTTCAAACAGGTAACAGCAATGAGCTCTGAGTCCCCTGGCCCTTAGAAGCCACTTTGAGATGATGCTGGAAGGAGGAAAACCTGGAATCAATAAGCTTCAGGAAAAAAGTTACCCCTGGTTTAAACCTTCCTATAGAGTGAGAGGTGGAGCTAAGATTGGGAACAATTCAGATCTCTGCTTTAACCTGTTGACTCCTGCTATGTGCTAGACACTGCTAGAGGTAAGTATACAAGGATCAAGAAAAGAATCTGGCTGCCTGCCAAAGGACTCATAGCTTAGTGGAGGGAATTAGACCCGCAGTTCCCAAACTCTGCATACCTTTCAAATTTTTGAGAAAAACACACCAATACTTTGACATCTGTCAGACAAAGTGTGAACAACTAGCTCAAAGCAGTTCACAGCTTCAACATTAGATCCCATTGCATTCCTTTTGATAATGCCATGTGTTGGCAACACTAGGCCTTTGGCAGTTGCTATACTAAAAGCAGGTACTGTGCAAAACTCAGTGTGGATCAGAAAATGAGGGTGTCACAGTCGGATTTGATTCTGAGTTTGAAAAGCTCTGTGCACTTAATGGGTCTACCTCTTACTATGGAACTGTGGACACTGAAGAATGAAATAAAATATATTTTTTTCTTTCAATTTATGTATATTACCTTTGTGAAAGATTACTAAGTGGTTAGGACAGAAATCATTGTAAAGTTGTTTGACACTAACTAATAAATGTTAAGTGTTTCTTTTGGCCTTTGTGCACTGTAAAAGAATTACTGAAACACCAAGTGCACTAGGAACCAAAAATCTGGGAACTTCTGAGATGAGCACTTAACACTCTTCACCAGCATTGAGATCATGGGACAGTTAACACTCAAAGCTCAGCTCCTGATTCCTCAACTATAAAATAGAGACAATAAGTCTAACTACCTTAGGCGCCATGATGAAGGTGAAACGTGATAATAGGAGTGAAGGATTTAGCACAGGGCTTGGCACACACTATGTGACCAATAAGCTCCAGCTTGTTTACATCCACAAAACCCTAGGCACCATAAGAAAAGTAATATTTAACCCTAATACTTCAGCTTCCAATTTATTTTTAAGCCTGTAGCTTCTCATATCAAATTCTGTTGCCATGGTACCTGCTGCAGTATCTGATGTCAACCAAGTAATTCTGAAATGAGGAAACTAATGATCCTGCTGAGGTTTGTCACAGAACTATTCAAATTACTTCACTGACACTCATTTTTAGTTTTTTGCCTTTGGAGGAGGGGGTATTGGGATCTAACCCAAGGCAGCATGCTTGCCATACGCTCCAAGCCCCAAGTCTTTTCATCTTATATTAGTTCAGAGATTGCTTATTCCTTTTGGTCAAAAGAAAAAGAGAGATGTTAGTCAATCTAATGATATTTTAAGAAGTAAATTTAAAACAAATTGTATCAAAATTATTCTCTTAAGTCTCTTGAATATTTCTGTTTCAAAAAGCTCTTGTGGCTTTAATTTTTTATCCATTTTGTTATATTTTATTTAAAATCTTTTGGTTTTATTGTGGTTTGTATTTTGAAAAAAAGCTAATCTTAGATCTAAGCTCTTATTTCCCTCCAAAAGATAAAATTATAGTAAGATTCTCAACTCCTCATTTAAAAAGACGAAAAACTTTCATTTTGAATGCTTCCCAGATTCCAAAGCGTTCATGAAAATGGCTGTTTACATCATTAGACAGAACTCTCCTGGCCTTCAGCATAGCTGGTAACTTTTCTGTCAGTTTCATATGGATTTAAACTTAACCAGATTTTTAACTTTAGGGAAGATAGAACAGATTTATATAAAGATGGAGAGAAAATCAACACTCTGTCTATACTGGTGATTCTCAGATGGGAATGGGAGAGAATTTTACATCTCAGGGGACATCTGGCAATAACTGACATTTTGGTTGTCTCATGGGGAACATGGGGAACAACATAGCAGCTAGGGATTAGAAGCCAGGGATGCAGTTAATGCACAGAGCAGCCCCCACAGCTCAACAAAGAAGTATCTGGCCCTAGATGTCAAGTATTGAGGTTGAGAAACCCAGTCTAGATATTATTTCTTTCCTTCACTGAATCACTCTTGTAAAAAAAAATGTCTGTCTTGTAATACCTCCTCTCTCAACCTAGAGGGTTATTTTGAATATTAGCTTCTGAGATTAGAAGTAATCATCAGCTATACAAAAACATCATGATTTTCCTCCAAATCAGTGATCCTCAGATTTCTTCACATTAAACCAGCTGGGAGACTTTCAAACCATATCAGTCATTGGACTCCATCTTCAGACCAATTGAATACAAATCTCCAGGGCTGAGACCAAACCACAGTATATTTTAATTTCCAATGTGTCAGGAATGGAGGATTATGAATATAAATGCACAGAAAGTCTATTTTCTATGCTAGTTCTGCTTACAAAGACAGAACTTAGGTACAGGATGGGAGATAGTGATGTCTCTCTCAATGTAGAAATGCTCTTTACTCCCTTCCCATGGGGTCATGTTGACTATTTGAATGAAGAGTATTTGAGCTGAGCATGGTGGCACATGCACATAATCCCAGTGACTAGAAAGGCTGAGGCAGGAGGATCTCAAGTTCAAGGACAGCCTCAACAACTTAGTGGGATCCTGTCTCAAAATATAAAAGTGGGGAGGGCATTGGAGATTTAGCTCAGTGGTAAAGCACCCCATGACCAAAAAAAAAAAAAAAGAAAGAAAAGAAAAAGTATTTGAGGTACTTACTTATGTTTTGATCACCCAAGATATTTTACTTTCATGGCCAAATTGCATGCATTTACAAGGTCTCAAGGTTTTTCTTAATCCTTTCTACAAAATTTCAAGAGAAAGAAAATTATTTAGCTTTGCTCCAGTAACCCACAGTTTCACTTTTAACTATCCTTCAATCTAAAGAGGATAGAAATAGTCTCACCATGGATTTCATGTACCAATTGAACCTGGATTCTTCTGAGCATCCTGAGAAGCCTATGGAAGGTTTTGAAGCCATTGTGATGGTGCATACCTATGATCCCAGTGACTCTGGAAGCTGAGCCAGGAGGATCACAGGTTCAACGCCAGCCCAGGAAACTTTAGTGAGATCCTATCTCAAAATAAAAAAAATAAAAAAGAATGAGGATGTATCTCAGTGGTAAAATGCCCCTGGGTTCATTCCTTAGTATTGCAGAATTGGGAGTTTCCAATTCACCCTCTACCCCTTTCACCACACTCCCAATCCTCCTAGCAAATACTGGTCAAGCAGATGGTTTGGGTGTGATGCCCTGGAGGTTAACAGATGTGAGTTCTGATGGAACAAGAGGACTGACCTTTCCCATTGCTGCTCTCAGACCAAAGCACATGCTCTGCTCCATCTCCCAACAAACAAATGGAGCTTCATGTGGCTGACTTTTAAACATTCCAAACCAGGATCAAAAGGCTTCTCAGAGTAAGGGGCAAGTAGAAGTCAATAAGAACTGATTTCAACATCAGGAAATGAACTCTATTTGGTAGACAATCTACCTTCCTTAGCTCAGGATTAAATATTAATTTAAGACTGGCATTTCAAAGCAAACAAACAAAAATGAAAGGCTTAGCCCTCAACTCTCCCAGAGTAGGTAACATTTATTCCCTCTTGATGCCTAATGCCCTTCTTGAAGGCCCACGAATGTTTAAAGAAACCTCTTTCTCTCTCTCTCTTGGATCATCAACTAAAAATGTGTTTTATCCACATGGGGCGGAGATTCACAGATATATCCTCAAGGGTTAGATAGTTTCCATTTAATGGATGCCATCAAGGTTCTGCTGTCATTTCATTCTACACAGTAGGTTTAGTTCTGACTATCTGAGTAAGGACTTTATAATTAAGTTGCCATCTACCCTCAGAACCCAAGATTGTCTGCGTGTTTATACTAAAACCCAGCAAAGGGCAAGTGATGTTACTGAGTGCTGCCCTAAAGCTTTGGCGGTGGTTCGATTAGAGAAGACGAGGAAAGGGAATCGTCATAGGGCACATATCACAGCAATCCCACCGTGCTTGTTTTGTGCATGGATGCACTGCACCGGCACCAACTGCACATGTCCCACCTTGAGACAACAGTCTATTATTACCAGGGACTAGAACTGACAGTAGAATATGGCATTCTTTTTTTTTTTTTTTAATGTTACTAGAAACTGAACCCAGCGGTGCTCTACCACTGACACCTAAAGCCCTTTTGAATTTCATCTTGAGACAGGGTCTCACTAGGTTGACCTTGGACTTGCATTCCTCTGCCTTGCCTCCCGAATTTCTGGGATTATAGGCATGTGCCACCACGCTCAGCTTCTATACTTGAGTCAAAGATTTGGTAGTCAGTATTAATACCATTTTATAATTTCTACTTGTGAAAATGGTCTCTGCTTTAATGTTTTTATTTAAAATATTAAAAATAAACTAAACTTAGAACTATATCAGAGGTTACTTGTTTCGAGCACTAAACTTAAGATCAGCCGTTTTGCTTGTGCAAATCATTATTTATCATATTTAACTGGTATTTTATTTTATATTTATTTATCTTTGCAGTGCTAGGGGATTGAACCCAGGGTTTCACACATAGTAAACAAGCACTGTACTTCTGAGTTCCACCCTAGCCCCTAAATGTTGTTTTTAATTTAATTTTCAATAGCCTTGTATTTTGTTTGCACTTAATGTACAAGTTGTTTTCATTTTATCTTTATGTAAGAGCCATAAGCAGATTTATGTTTATATTTAGATACCATAAAAAATATTAATGTAGAAATTCCTTGAGCACTTTTTAAAAAAAATATTTATTTTCCAGTTGTAGGTGGACACAATATCTTTATTTCATTTTTATGTGGTGCTGAGGATCAAACCCAGTGCCTCACATGTGCTAGGCAAGCACTCTACCCCTGAGCCACAACCCCAGCCCCCATGAGCACTTTTTTCCCCCTCTAAAGATTTACACATTAGTTAATGTTGAAAAATACAAGATTCATTTGTTTATCAAGGCAGGCAGATTGAAACCTAAGACTTAGAGTAGATCTGTGCTTGGAGTCTGGTAGAATGAACTTAGCCTTGCAGTTTTCACTCTGCTCAGAGGGTAGGGGGGCAGATGCACACACCTCCCCTGTCTGGACAGAAGGCTAACAGCAGCTGTATTTCCATCCCATTTCCCCAGGCAGCCTACTGAATACATGTTCAGTAAATAAAGAGAAGAAAGACAGAAATTTTTAAAAACCAAATTTTAAAAATCTTTAAATAACATTACAAACAAGAAAAATGTAGATTATAAATTTTATTTACTTTTGGTATGATTTCAAAACTAATACCTACAATTCTTTTATCTAAAAATCAACTGTAACCTGTTTCATTCCATAACCTCAGCCCCCTGCAAAGTCTTTCTAACCAAATATTTCTGGAAATTCTTTGTTTTACAGATGCTCAAAAGATGTGTGATGAGGGGTCTTGTGCTGCTCACAGATTCCTCCCTTTCCCCCCTGGTCCTCCACTGACTGGGTACTCCCACACCCTCATGCTCTGGGCTGTTGAGCTCAGAGCAGTGATGCACAATAGAGAGCTCCCCTCTTCTTTTTATGTAACATTCTGTTAGCAGGATACCAAAGTACAGTGACCTTGTGCTTTACTGTTTTACAGAATTTCTATTTAAAGAAGGAGGAAAAAAAAAAAAAAACCAAATCTCTCAACTTTTACTTACAGCTCTCTTCCGCAAGGATCAAGAGGTAAAAATTATAAACTCAAAGTAAAAAAATCTTTATAGTTCCTATACTATACAAGAATTTCACTCCCCAAAAGTAGAAACAACTTGTTTCACTGTATCATAGCTTGAGCAAAGCAATTTCCTATAGCCTTGCTGATATTTAACTTTTTTAAAAGATCATTTTATCTTTTGTAGCATGTTTAATCTGTTCACATTTACTAGAAAGTTACCAATAAATTCAAGGTCATAAAAAACTGATAGTGATACAAAATATTTTTTTCATAAAAATGTGATCTGTTTCTGGCAGAATGCCAGGGATTATTGCCCTATGGATAATGAATGGTTTTGCATCTATTAAGCAAATTCTCTTCAACATTCCTGATGACTTACATATTTAACTATTCTTTTGGATGCTCTGATAAGCCAATTGCAGCATCTTATTTCCTTGTTAATTAATGAATTAAGTAAAAAATATTTGACATATTTCATTTTTTAGAGTCGTTTTACATTCAAAAATATCCTTTAACATTGGTTTCCCTTGCTCATTCGATTAAAGACGGAACTGAATTATTATTCTTTCCTTAGAGGGGGTAGAGGAAGGGCTAAGGAGGAGGTGGGGAAGACTGATTTGTGTGTGTGTGTGTGTGTGTGTGTGTATGGTACTGGGGATTGAACCTAGGGGTGCTTTACTTCTGAGTGACATCCCCAGACTTTTATTTTTTATTTTGAGACAGGGCTGCACTAATTGACTGAGGGTCTCCCTAAGTTGCTGAGACTCAAACTTATGATCCTCCTGCTTCAGCCTCCCGAGTCACTGGAATAACAGGTATGCACCATCACACCAGGTTGGGAACATTCTGATTTTTCCAGATAAAGCCAGCATCAGGGCAGTGTGAGAAGTGCTTCACCAAGTGCTGTGGAAGCACCATGCAGGGAGGGGAAGGCCGACAGGCTGCAGGCTGGGGGAGCCTTCTAGACCAAGCCAAGTGCAAAGGGAAAGAGGGCATCAGGCAAGTGGAGAGTACAGAGTAGAGACAGTAACAGGGAAAATACTGTTCACAAGGGCTTGGGAAGTGTTGGTGGCTGTGCTGTGCACCTCATCCTCATTCATATGTTAAAGTCCCAGCCTCCAGTACCTCATAATATGACTGGGGAGATTAGATCTTTAAAGGTGTGATTTAGTTATGTTGAGGTCCTTAGGGTAGACCCTCGTATTAGTCAGCTTCCCATCACTGTGACAATGTACCTGAGAAAAACAACTTGAAGAAAGGTTTATTTTGGTTCATGTTTTCAGAGGTTTCAGTCCATGGTCACTTGACCCCATCATTAGAATCCAATGGTGCAACAGAATATCATGGTGTGAATACATGGCAGAGAAGAGCTGCTCATCTCATGGGAACTAGGAAGGAGAGAGAGGGCTGTGGTCACAGAATACTCATCAGGAGAACACTCGTGTGACTGATTTCCTCCAACTAGGCCCCACCTGCTAAAATTTCTACTGCCTCCCAACAGTGCCACAAGTTGGGGACCAAGCCCTCACCACATGAGACTTTGGGGGATATTCCAGATATGGACCATAAAGTGGATGGTGTCCTGATAAGAAAAGGGAATACAGACACACAAAGAGGGAAGGTCCTGTGATGATAGGGAGAATACCATCATCGATAGGCCAAGAAGAGAGGCCTTAGAAGAAACCAAGCCTGCTGACACCTTGATCTTGGACATCCAGCCTCCAGAACTGTAGGAAAATAGATGTCTGTTGTTTAAACCACCTTGCAAACTAATATGGGGAGAAAAAGCTTGAGACTTTTGGGAAACCAAAAGTAGTATTGAGAATCCTGTTATGTGGTGCCAATCTTAATTCTATCCAAAATTCTAGGTAGCATTAAGTGATTCATCAATAAAATTACTTAGTACAGCTATATGTAGTGGCTTGCGTCTTTATTTCCAACCATTCATGAGGCTGAGGAAGGAAGATCACAAATTCAATGCTGGTCTTGGAAGCTTATGAGACCTTGTCATAAAATAAAATAGAAGAAATTGGTTTAAGACAGCAGTAGGAAGACCATAGCCCAAGGGCCAACTGCATTTTTTTTGTATGATCCATAAGAATTAGTTTTTTTTAAAAAAAATGGTTCTAAAAACTCGAAAGAAGAATGATATTTTGTGACACTTAAGAATGATGTGAATTTATGACTTGAAAATCTGAGACAGGAGGATGGTATGTTCAAGAACATCCTGGATAACTTAGCAAGACCCTCACTCAAAATAAAATTTTAGAAAAGCCCAGTTCAGTGGTTGAAAATTTGCCTAGCATGGGCAAGGCCCTGGGTTCAATTGCCAGTACTAAAAAGAAAATTACTTGGTACATAGTGAAACTTTAGTTTTCACCCCAAGTTCTGTGAATTCTCTGAGTTCCCACAGTCATCTTGTTTGTTCCTTTATTATAAAATATAAGTCCTGTGTCTTTCAACAGCTAATCCATTTCTCCACCATAACCTATGAGTCCCTCAAAAATAGGGCTGTGGTGGCATTTCTTTGTATGTCTGGCACTTAGTGGATTACGATACTAGGTCTGTCACCTAGTAGACACATAAACCAATGTTTGTGGAACAAGGAATTTAATAAGTGAATAAACAAATAGGGGAAAGCTACTTCAAGCAAAAATATAACTTGTAGACAGTGTTTTCCCTTGGGGATTTAGGCTATCTAGCTAGAATTACTTAGTGCTCTTGAAGACAACTTTGCAGTGGCAGCTTGGTACCAGAGCTGACCTACTCAAAAGCCATTGCACACTGGCCCAGCCATGGGTACGAGAGTCTCTGCTCTAGTGAGGTTTTGGAGTGAAAGTGCCCTAGTGTCCACTGCCCCGGGAAATGTTCTAGGGCCTCTTTCCCAGACACTAGACTCTTGGTGAATACTGGAAAGAGAGATGCTAACTGAAATGAAAGGCTTTCTGTCTCAGACACATTTGTCACCAAAAGAATACGTCTTTCTTCATATAAACTGCTATCTCCTCAGGAGCTACCTGCTTGCTATATAAACTGTACAGAGGGTGGCAAATGTTTTTTGTAAAGGCAGGCAATGATTTGACTGTGTCCCCCAAAGTGTGCAAGTTGGAAACTTCATACCCATTAAAACAATGCTAGGAAGTAGGGCGCAAAGAGAGGTGCTTGGTCCAGCCTCATGAATGGATTATGATTTTTTATTATTAAAGGGCTTGAGGCTTGTGAGTTGAATCTTTCTCTCTCTCTCCCTCCCTCCTTCCCTCTCTCTCTCTCTCTCTGCCCTTTTGCCATGGCATGATGCAGCAAGACAGCCTTTGCCAGATATGGCCCCTCAGTCTTGGACTTCCCAACCTCCAAAACCATGAGCCAATAAATTCCTATTCATTATCAATTACCCAGTCTTGGGTATTCTGTTATAGCAGCACTAAAATACTGAGACAGTATAGTAAGCACTTTGGACTTTATGGGCTATAAAAGACCAAGACAGTATGATACATATTTTAAACTTTGGGCAGCTACAATTTAACTTTGCCATTGAAAGCTGAGGGTATAGTTCAGTGGTAGAGTACATGCCTAGCATGTACGAGGCCATGGCTGTGTTCCAATAAAACTCTGGACAATTAAATTTCATGCAATTTCTTTCTTTCCTTTCTTTTCTTTTTTTTTTTTTTTTTTTTGTTGTTGTTGTTTTTTGTGGTGCTGGCGATTGAACTCAGGACCTGGAACATGCTAGGCAAGGGCTCTACCACTGAGCTACATCTCAAGCTCTTTTTAAAATTTTACTTTGACACAGAGTCTCACTGAGTCACCCAGGCTGGCTTACAACTTGCAATCCTCTTGCTTTGGCTTCTTGAATAGTAAATTTCATGAGTCACAAAGTATCATCTTGTTCTTGGGTTTTTAAAATAGTCTTTTAAATCATCCTTAGCTTGTGGGCCACACAAAAAGAAATGGCAGGTCAAATTTAGCCTTTGGGCTATATAGTCTACCTACCCCTGCCCTAAACCAATATCTTCCCCTCGGCTTTGTCTGTTTCTCTCCCTTTTTATTCTTTTCATTCCAGTCAAACTATGATATTCAAATGTGAATATTTCTAGGAAACAATGGACTCTCCACAGTCCTTTGCAGCTCAGTGTGAATGAATAAAAATCAGGCTTTTGCTCAGAGACTGGGAGGAAATAAGACTAAAGATAATCTTAAAGTAAATAAGAAGTACAAAAGTATTATAAAAGTAAATAAGAAGACAAGGCCAAGTGTAACCCAGCAAAACCTTGCCCACAAACTACAAAATAGATTTGCACTTTACTTGTTACTCAGCTCAAGTTGATTTTTCATTGAAACAGAATGAACTTGTTTCTCCCATAATACATTTTATCATTTCAGATAACATGGGGAAGATGTTGGTGCTTTCTTGGGCCACACGTTGCTGTACGGGCAACTTCCTGACCTCAAATTCAACCCTGCGAGGGCTTGGTCTGAGCTTGGTGTGAAGAAAAGAGGACTCACAGCCGATATGATCTGGTGTCGTGCCAGTCTGCACAGAATTAGAAGATGGATTATTGTGGATTTGTTTTCCTTTAGGAATTAGGGCTGGCACTGGCTTAGCTTCAGTACAGCAGAGGTATTAACTGAAATGTATTTCTGTCTTAACAGCCACATCCCTTTTAGCCTTGGTGACTTTGGAGTGACTTCTAAAGCAATCTCATCAGAATGAATCGGCAGATTAAGGTGAAATTCATGTCAGAACAGTAGGCAAGAGGAGATGAAATGCCCTACACCTGGCTGCCCACTGCAAAAGGTAAAGTTGAACATGTGAGATGGGCCGAAAAATGCTGGGTGAACTTTCAAGTGGATTTCCTTCAGTCAACTCACAAGAAGATTCAAAGCAGCATAAAGAACTCAAGATGAGGTAGCCGCACAGCCCATGTACTGGCCATGTGTCGCATTTGAGTGCTCTCTGGATTCATCAGCAAGTCTGATTTGAAGTCTTCTCTCTTTTTCTCTTCACCTGTTTAGTGAATTCACTATGCTTGATGGGAGTGAATCTGAACCTAGGCACTGAGGATTTGATTTCCTACAGGAATTAGGGCTCGTTTTAGATGGCCTCCCCTTCATTTGTGAAGTCACTTAACTCTGGAAGCCTCAGCTTCCTCATCTGCAAAATGGGGCTTAGAGTCCATATCCCAGGCTTGCTATAAGGATTCCGGGAGATAATATGTGAGGTTGCTTTATCAACTCTGCAAATAATAGCTTTCAGTTTAACCATCCTCCATGTCCATGGACCCAAACAGAAGTTCGTCTTGTTCCCCTGACTGAAAATTGGGAAGCAAACAGTTGAGTTTGTTATCCAGGGAAGGATGCTCTCTGGTCATCTTCTTGCCTCTTGCCTTTGTCAATAAATACTTATTAAAGGGGTGTATACACTGGAATAGAAGACATATGATTTACAAAAACATGAATTTCTTGATGGGCTAGGACTGAAAATATTTTTTTGATGCAATTCAATGTGTTGTTAATCTTTCTCTGCCCCATCCCTGCCACACCAGGTATGTGCACATCATTTGTCCTGTAGTTCAAACACAGAAAATTTTTAACACACCGTGTCAGCCTTACAAATAAATAAGTAGATAGTTCCCATGCTCTGTAGCATAGGATGACCACCAAGGTTTTTCTGCTGTAAAATAACTCTTGCTAATTTGGGATATATACCTCAAATCCCATCATGTGGAGTCATTCATTTAAACCACAGAATTATGCATTTTAAAAAACAGGCCTGGCATGGCAACACACCTGTGATATCAGCTGCTTGGGAGGCTGAGGCAGGGGGATCACAAGTTCAGGGCCCGTCTGGGAAACTTAGTGAGATTCTATCTCAAAATAAAATAAAGAGCATTGGGGATGTGACTCAGTGGTTAGTGTGCATGCATAGCGTATGCAAGGCCCTGGGTACAATCCCTAGTACTGCAAAAAGAAAAAGAAAAAAATGCCGTAGAAAGGTGGTATTTTGCTACCTCCAAATATTAACAACTGTGTATAAATTTCTTTATTATGTCTTTTCTAAAGTAGGAAGCCAAGGGCTACTTTAAGACCAGTAGAATGATACAGAACACAGAGATAGGGAGTAGGAATATCAAAAGAGAACAGTACCGTACAGACACAACATCTCCCATCTTGATTTTATCTTGTACTATCCCTGCCTATCTACATACCTTTTCATTTACAAATACTTATTGAGTATCAAATATAAATCAAGACCTCTGGTTGTAAGCAACACATCAAACAGATTTAAGCAGAGAGGAATCAATTGAATGGATATTGAATAACTCATAGAATCTCCCAGAAGCCTAGAGAATAGGGCTCAGAATCAAGGAAGCACAAGGAAGACTGAAATGCACCCTGGGGCATAGGCAAAAACATGCCATCAAACCAGCACAGAAGGATGCTGTGGCCGCCTCTGCTGAGCCCCAAGAATCCATCCCTGAGGTACCTACCGCTGCCCCGGAAACTCCTCCCCTTGTGAAGTCCTGGAAGTCCCTAAAGTTTTGTATCTAACTGAACTGTGGAGCATGCTCATCTGATTGGTCAAACCCACCTTTCATACCTAATCCCTACCTGCATAGGTGGGGACATAAGACTCAGATATTTTCACTTCTTGAATGGGAGGCATCCTCTGTCTTACCCCAGGACTCATAAAGTAAATAACTCTCCCAAACAGAAAAGGATTGAAATAACAAAGAACCCAAAAAGTAGCAAATGGCCCCTACTCATCTACTATGTGTCAGGCATTGTGCTAAGTTGTAGGTACTGAGACTTTAATGAGAGAGACAGGCATGTAAATGGAGACTATTATGTTGTGTTCATGATAACAGTGTTTAAATAGGTGTAAGTGATGCCTTTGGATCCTGCTGGAGAGA